CAGCTTCTCACAGAAGCCACCCCTGTAGCCCTCCCGCTACCGAAACCTTGCCACGCAAACCCAAGACACTCACCCACTTCAGCCCTGGGTTTATTCTTGGCTGCTGCACTGTACCTGATGCCTGTTAAAAGGAACACGAGTGCTCATGAGGTCTGGTGTGAAGTCAGCAGCCTCCAAAATACCCCCAAAGCCCTACAGGAAATGTGGCCCTAGAGAGGATCATAGCCCAAGCACGGGAGCTTGGCTGGACACACGCAGGCCACATTTCTGTGTCAGGCTAGGACCAAGGCGGACACCCAGGCTCATGCTCGGTGACCCGGCTCCTTCAGGGAGCTTGAATTTACCCCATTGCCTCCATCTCCATTCCCATCTGCTTCCTCCTGTCCTCATTGATGGGGTGGAGGCAGAAGGTGACTATGGCAATGAGCAGCAGGCTTATTGGGACTGGGGCCATGAGCAGATGCAGGGTGAGGATGACGGAGGGGTTGTACATGCAGTCTCCAGCACGGTAGCCTGCAAAACTAAAGAGGAGAATGGTTTTCCTTCCCCCAGCCCCACCGGCTCACCGCAGAAAGGCAAGCAGGCACCTCCGTTGCTCTCCTCTAGAGTCTGATATCAGAGACCCAGTTTTGGGGAATTCCCACTCCTGTCTGCTCCTTTTGCTCCCAGTGATGTTGGAAAGGCAAATTTGGATACCCCTGTCGCTCATTCCAGCATCTCCTATCAGACACTTTAGAAAACAGCAGTAGAAGGTGCCTGTGCTGGGCTGACAAAATAGGGGAGGTAGTGTTTGGGGCTTACTGTAAACTCAGTGTCGATACCCCCACGGCAAGGCCACCTGCAAGCTTGTTGAAGAAGACATAAAACGAGTAGAAGAGAGCCTCCAAGTTGAGGCAGCTGGGGTTCCTCAGCATGAAGTCATCCACCGTATCTGGCAGCATGGACCTGGGGACAGACAACCCCACAGACACGTCTGTGACACCCACGCCAGCGATGGCTGAACTCAGCTGCAGCTGCTCCAAGGCCTCTCCAAGCAGCAGAGAGAGACAGAAACCCCTTGCAGAACCCCACTCTGGAGACCCTTTTGTGCCTGTCCTCTGCCTTAGGCAAACAGGGCAGAGAGCGTCCTACGGAGAGGGTGCAGCAGCTGCTTTGCAAAAAAGAGAAGAAAACCGGTGCCTTGCACAATGACTGGTGTCCTGCTGCCGAACCTGAACGCAGACTGAACGGTGCTGCTGGGGGACCGTGGATCACATCCGCATCCCTTCCCAGTCCCACCTCCACAGGTCCCTCTGCAGCCCAAAAGCTGCTGTATTTCTTGAGCAAATGGGCGGTCTTAGCACTTGGTAGTGCTTTCCCGATAACCTTCCCCTCCTCTCTGCCTGACAACTGCCTCGGAAGTGCCTCTGCTCACCATGGCAAAAGGTAGAGCACAGCCATGCTGCAGCCTGCCACGATCACCAGGAAGACGAAGGCCAGGAAGTTGTGCGTCACCTGGGTGACTGCTATCAGGGCTGGAATGATCAGCTGCAGCGGCGAGAGGAAGAGGAGAAACAAAAGGACATGGGTTCTTCCTGCTGCTCGCAGGCAGCGTCCACCGGTCTGCCCCAACCAAAGGCCACACGCTCCCCAGACATTTCATAAATGGAACTGCACACACTTCATAAACCTATACAGTGCAGTGCGGATGCCCTGGGCGGGCTGACACTGGCAGCAAAACCTTCCTCATGGGTAAAGAAGGGATGGCTATGGAGGGCAATGGAGCCATGTGGTTAAACTGGAAAGCTGGATCTGCTATGGCTGCACCCAGTGTCTGTGAGGAAGGTATCTGGAGATAGATCCTCAATGGGATTTGAGGACCTAATTCTGAAAAAAAGCCAAATGGGATTTCCTCGCTGACCTGCCGAGCCAGGCAGCAGCCGAGACGTGTCTGATGAGCAGGCTGTTCCCCAGCCACTGCCAAGTATGGTGCACAGCCCTTCCTTCCCTCCCCGTGCCTCTCACAGAGCTGGATGGCAGAACTCGGATCGCTTGCATCAAGCATGCAAGATCCTGGAGCAGGACAGAGGCCACAGGGCGACGTTTGCGTGTGCGCGGGACACTGGTGCATGGGTACAGCCTCTGATCACACGCTGCTCACCAGATCTCCAGCTATGGAGTCTCAGAGCCCGAGCCCTTGTTTGGGCGATGCTGCAAAAAAATCATTTCCCCACTGTCCCAGGGATGGTCCCTCGGCCTCCCTGCACCTTACTGCAAAGCTCTGCAAAGCCATGGCCACTGATAGCAGCAGTGGCCAGACACAAAGGAGTGCAGAGCTGCCGTCTACTACTAGCTTACTCCTGGTCGCCTGCAGTGCAGAGGACACCGTGCTCAGGGCCACCCGTAGCTGCCAGCCAGCTCTTCTCCTCAGACACCATGAGCAGCTGGGGGCAAGGCTGTCCCCTCGCAAGGTTTGTCAGTCCACAGCCACAACCATGGGCAAACTCACCGCCAGGCCCAGTGACACTGCTGTTTTCTTTCCAAATCTCCCTGAAAACCACTGCCAAAAGGGAATAGAGAGCAAAGCTGTGACCTGAAGAGAGAACCAAAGGGGAGTCTCAGCAACATCCCCCAGGACTGCCGGTCTCTGCCTGGGTGACATCCTTGCTAACGGGCAGAAGCAGCAGCGCGTGGCTCCATGAGGCCGAGCTGCCCATGCTCGAGGGATCCAAGGATCCACCCCTCCACCAGGAAGGTCTGCCTGGGGCTCACTTACCAACATGATAAGCACTAAATGGTGAAACTTCCCGGCCAGCCCTGCGGCATAAGTACAGAAGAAGGCAAAGATCCCCTGTATGATCTGGGAAAGCAACACGGAGACGTTCATGGCTGGGGGGTCCGAGTTCACTGTCCGGATAACTTGCCTGGACATCTCGTCCCCCAAGCTCTCCTCCTGCCGCGGCAGGTCTCGCACCTGGAAGGCCAGGGATGCAAAGAGGAAGCCACAGAGCAGCCGGGTGTAGGGCTTGTGTCCCATGATCATCCTCAGGCAGCTGGTGAAGGGCAGTTCAACCTTCCCCAGGGGACTGAGGGGCCCTGCGAGGAGAGACAGCAGGGCTGGCGCTGGAGCTGCCAGAACAAACACGATGGGGTGGGAGGGACAGGGGAACCGCGCCGCTGTGTCTGGGGTGCAGCTCAGCTGGGTGAGGAGCTATTGGAGCCTGACGTCTCAGTGCAGAGACAGCAGCCGTGGTGTGAGCTACCGGCAGGATTTTCCCTCTTTACACTGCGCCCGTGGGCTGGCCTGCGTAGCTCTGCGGGCTGCGTGTTGGTGAGACCTGCTCAGTGTGAAGCAGCGAGCTGCAGACCCTGTCCCGGGCCCACGGCTCCCTGCAAGAGCCCCCAGGCAGCCTGAGCCTTCCTTCCTCCAGAGCATCTCCCCTCTCCTCTGTGGGAGCAAGATGCTGCCAGCACAAACCAAGGAGGGCCTCAGCATCCACGGATGTGCGCGTTTCTGAGCCCCACACCTGGAGAGCCATCCCCTGCGTAGCAGCCCAGCTCCCTCCGCCTCGCACCTTCCTCTGCAACCCCATCCTCACCACCCACTGCCACCGGGCACCCTCCAGGTTGGATCTAAATGGACCTTACCAGGCTTCTCGCTGACTCCGAAGACGAGAATCAGACAGGACAGGCAATAGATTGAGCTCAGGGCCAGGGATGCAAATACATAGGCCCTACGCTGGAAAACGAGAGACGGGGCACAGTGACAACGCGGTGCCACGCACAGAGCTGGCAGCACGGCCAGCACTGCCTGCCCCAGAGCTTCCAGGAGGAGCAGGGGTCAGACGAGCGAGCCCTTACCGTGTTCTTCAGAGAGTCCGTGAGGCTGTAGGTGCTGGTGTTGTGCAGGCTCTCCTTTGACATGTAACAGCTGTTCATCATGTGGGCATGGTAACTGCCCACAATCTGCCCCTGGATTCCTGACCCGAGGAGCGCGCTGAACAACTCCATCCCCATTCCTGCCAGGACCACCAGGAGAGAAACCTCAGTCCCACTCCCTGGCTGATGGGACACATCCCTCAGGGTAAGAGACCAGCTTTGGGAATGGAATTGGAGGCACCAGCATCCGGAGCTCCCTCAGAAGAAGAGACCTGCTATTTCTACCTGCTCTGATTTTTTTTCCCTTGGCTCAAGCATTAAATGCTCTAATGTTTGGAACCACTAAGTCTGGGTCCTGAGTCCCCTAGGGATGAAACGGATCTAAGAAATGTTTCTGCGGGTAAATTCTTTGCAGAAGATGACTGGTTTCATCCCTGTTTTCATATCCCTGGTTTACCCCATCCACTCTGCAGCCTGATCAAAGCCAGAGGAACTTATTCACCTCTCCTCTGGGGAGGGTCTCCCAGGAACGCAGGCAGCCGGGGGTTGTAGGGGCACAGACACTTACTGTAGGCAGTGGCTGAGTCACGGTCTCTCTGGGTTCCTCCCAGGAACATTGTCAGTGAAGAGTACGGCACGTGGTGGCACTAGGGAGAGCACAGTTCAAACACAGCTCCGGCTGCTGCTTCCCTGGTTTGCTAGCCACGACCCCCCTCGTCCCTACACACAGCGGATTATGCTGCCTTCTGTGCCACCCCTGCACGCAGGTGGCTTTTCACCTTCTTCTTCTCTGATTTGCTCTGTTCCCACAAACCGGTGATGGAGAAGTTCACATCACCATATCCAGGCAGCCCAGCCGAATCCCCAGCATGAAAATGCACTGCTCCGTCTCACCATCCCTGCAGGGATGGTCTGCAACATCCCGCATCCCTCACTGCTCCCCAGCTAAAGCTCTCCCAGGCTCCGCTCCAGGTCCCTTCCTGGAGAGGCTGGGGCTCCCCAGCTGACCGTGTCCCCGTTCCTTGCAGTACAGGATGATGTGTAAGACAGTCAGCCCCAGGCACCATGTTCCTTACAGTCATGCAAATCTGGAAGGAGTTGTACATGAACAGGTACCACAGGAACTTCAGGGAGGTGGGGGTGGCATCCGAGAGGGTGAACCACACCATGCAGTAGCAGAGCACCCCGAATGGCATGGACCACACGATCCTGGGGAGGAAGTGGAGGTGGTCAAGATGTGACCCTCGGAATAAGGAGGTCACGCTTCTCATTGCACAAGCAGAGCTCCGCAGCACAGCCTCCTCCCCAGCCGCCAAACCACAGCACAGCTACTGCAAGATCAAGACCTGCGAGAGGAAGCAGCTTTGCTCAAGTGAGTGTCCATCAGTCAGGCTGGGGCAGGGCTAAATGAGAGAAAAAGTAACGTCTAAGTTGTCCAACATTTCTTATTCTATTGCCTAACTACTTCAAGTCCTTGCCCTGCAGCAAAACCCTGGAGGCAGCGGTAACCCTCTACGTGCAAGATCTGCCCGTGGTTAGAGCCTGGTGAAGAGCTGCCGGCACAGCTGACTATCAAATTCTGTATGCGCCACCACACAGGACTCTCAGAGCACCGAACCCCACAGCCTTGAAAATGTGAGGCTCCAGGGAAATAGCAAGCGTACAAGTTTGCAGTACATTCCTCTTTCACTGCAATGACATATGGACCCCACTGCAAGTTGTGTTATCTTTAGTGTCCTTGTGATGTTATGGTTTTGCAATTCTCCGTAAGCCACGATCACATTAAGCTCCCGGTGAGGCAGCCCAGCTACCTCCTTGGGCTAGCACTGAAGGAATTTGAGCCCAGCAAAGACCCTCCTGAGGCTCCAGCCCAGACACTCACCATGGGACCAGCTTGCCACATTTTCTCTTCGGGCTTTTGCTGACCAGGAAGCCAACAGCAGGGTCAGTAACCGCATCCCAGGCTCTTCCAAGGAAAATGATCAAAGAGGCATTGAATGGCTCCAGCTGGGGGGAAACGGAAACCACAGCTCGAAAGCGAAAGAAGTCCTGGCGAAAAGCTGCAGTCAGCATGATGCAGCTTGCTCTAGCCACCGTTTCATCTGCATCCCCTGGAGACCACTTCAAGCCTTGAAGCGTCCCAGAAACACCTCCTGCGCGCCCACCAACAATATTTACACGATGCGATTTTGATCCCGTCTGAATGCCTAATTCTGATGAGCAGTTCCAAGGGCTTTGGCCACCCACCAAATTCTACCCTTGCCCCAGTCTGCTGAGCTTACACTAAGCCCCTTTGCACATAACCCCATCTCACGTGGTCACTCACCTGCACAACGTCCAGTAGGAAGATTTGGAAGAAGAACCCAAGGGCGTTGCCTGTCATCTGGTAGGGAATGCCCCCGATAGCATAGCAAACCTTCCTGCAGAGCAGCAGTCCTGGCTTCTCCTGCAACTGAGACACCCGGGAACAAGCCCACCTGAGAAGTGATACGCACCTCTGGCTGACAGCTAACCTCCAGCCGCTGCTTAGCCCATCGCGGGGTTCTCCGGGGCCGATTTAAACCCCAAGTCATATCATAACCCCCGCACGCACCCACCCAAGACACACATACCTGTCCTTTGGCCGGACATCACTCCACCTGAGAACCACAAGCAAGGTGGACGTGGCAGTTGGAGTGTTGTAGGGTGCTTCTCCATCTGCAGGTAATCTTGGTGGGCCAGGGCACAGTGCTTTCTGCCTACAGCCTGCCCTCGGGCAGCAGCCTGGCTCGTGACATCCTGCTCAGCAGAGCTTCATATTCTTCATAAGCCCTCAGGGTCTCCTGCACAGCCGCCCGGAGGGGCCGGGCATGCCAACAGCCTCTCTCCTCGCTCCAGCCCACCAGCCCACATCCACTCCTCGACCGGCCAAAGCCCCAAGGCAAGGGCTGATCAGTGGGCACCTGTCTCATTTGCTGGTCTTGGGCTTGACTTGTCACCAGGGCCACATCCCTGGTGTTTCACCTGGATTCTCCTCAGAGGCGTGTTTGCATGAGATCGCAGGCTGATAACGTAAATGAGATGCATACCTAATGCCAGACACAGAGCTAGCTGTTGAGCTGGTCTAACATTGTCCTTTCCTATTCTATTGAGCCACAATCCAGTGGTTCGAGTTCTTTAATATTAAAAAGTACAAACTGCATCAGGGTTAAAGCGACTGTAACGGAGGCAGTCGGAGGAGAGAGACTGCAAAGGCCAGAGCCCAGGGGATTTCTATAGATCAACAGGGAAAGCACAAGGAACGTTTCAGTGTGCAAGAAAAGGGCTGATGGCAAAGCCTCTATTTTATTTGGATGTGGCTAGCTTCGGTAAATACCGTACCAAGCTCCAAGCATCTAGCAAGTTCCCAGAGGCAACCTACAGCACTGACTTCTTCCCAGCTCCAAAGTGAATTTGCTGTCTAGCATGATACATCTCTGCATCGCACAAGACCAGGAGCATACTGCAGAATACAGGGTGAGACCACGCAGAAAGCAGACGGCCCGTTCGGGCTCGGCTTTCCACTTGGCTGAAGCAGTGCGTGGCCTTGGTCGCAGCTTGGCTCTCCGATGAGCAGACCATTGCTAAAGGTAATTTCTGCTGGGATCGCGGTGCAGAGGCCTGGAGACCAGGGCTGACCTCCCATCTCGGCACAGGCTGCCTTGGATGATGCTGAGGGCTAACAGAGTCATCAGCGACTCAGGTTCCTGTAGACTCAGGTCTACACAACGTTTCGCCTTTCCCGATCACTGAGCAGCTCCAGCGCAGCTCAGAGCGTGGCAGGCAGGTTGTTGTCCTGCACCCAGTAAATACACAACCCTTTCTGGAAAGATATGGAAAGCTCCCCTGCTCACACAGGGCAGAGGGCCATCCCAGGCGACAGGCCTGGTCCAGACATGCCTATAAAAGGCTACGAGTTCCTCCAGCAAGAGCTCCGCAGAAGAGCAGAGGGTGAGGAGGGATGAACGCTTGGCACGGGGCAGCAAGACGCTGGGCTGAGGGACAGACTGCAGGGTCACATCGGCAGCCGGGTAACAGGGAAATCAAGTCAGGGATCGCTTCGAATTCCCACTTGCCCTCGTTTCTCGTGGGACGAGGGGGCAACCTGCCGGTTCCCCAGCCTGTTTGGGCTGGAGATGGCTTGCTGTGCCGCTAACGTCAGTCACGCTGACAGCCACCCTCGAGGGATGACAGACCTTCATTGTAACGGTACTCGAGAGCGGCTTCTGAAAACACAGGCACAATCCCAAAAAGCAGCATTCCAGAACGCACTGAGCGCGTTTCCCTCGCACAGCGATTAGCAATAACTCCTCCGCAGCCCGTAGCACGGAAAAAGCAGCAATGCTGCTGTGTCCGCCAGCCCGGAGGGCCCAGCCTCTTCCTGCACACCCAGCAGAGCAGAGTGCCTGCTTCTGAGGTGCCAGGTAGCCTCAGCAGCCCGCTCGTGCCTCTCAGCTTCTGGTCCCAGTTTACTTTCTGCCTTTTACAGCACACAGCGAGAGTCAGGTCCCTCGCATTTCAAACTGCAGACCGAGCTTGTCCCGCAGGGATGGCTGAAGCATTAGGCTTGCACCACCGCTGAGGAGCACTTACTCATACAACATCTTGCTTCCACAGCAGTTCTGTTTCTAAAATTACAAAGGCATTTCTCTCGGCTGTAGGGTTTTGTGGCAGCTTTTGTTGCCTTTATGCTCTCAGCAGGTAGGACAGCGCTCTGCACGTCTCTGCCCATTTCACTTGAAAGTCAGCAACAACAACAAAACGCAGAGCCTTGCTTTAACAATGTTCTTGAGCTTGAGTCATAAACACTTCGAAACACCCCCACAGCCTGCGGCTGCTCGATCCGGGTAGGCTCTGCGTGGGTGTGCACTCACGGGAAATGCATTTCTGCGTGCGAGAAAGAACCACCCTGGGACACCGGTCTTACCTCTCTGCAGTCCACTCTCCTCTGTGGGACAGCTCCTTCCTGGGTTAACCCCTGCAGCTCAACACCTTCGTGACCACCTGGAAGCATGAGTGCAGGCACGAGCGCGTCCTTCAGCGTCAAAGAGCACGCCACAGGCGTGGATCAGAGCTGGATGGAGATTTGACAAGTGAAGACACAAAATCTGCGGGGCCCTAGAGGGAGCGGATGGAGGGGAAATGACCTCTGTGAGGGAGGAGCATCACCAGACCCTGCCCATGGAGTCAAGAAACCTGGCAGAGCTCACAGTACAGCATCTACCAGGGCACTAGCTCCCAGGCTCTCTGCAGTCAAACGGAGAAACTGGTGCTCTTCAAAAGTCAAGTTGGGTTCAGCACTTCATCCCCCATGGCTCCTGCCACACTGAGATCTTAGGGGTGCGGTGCAGGAGTCCTTTGCCTGAGCTCCAGACCACCGCAGGAACACACTCAAGCCACCCCAGGACTCCTGCCTCAGCGCCAGCAACCACCAGCTGCAAAGAACCAGCGTGCAAAACCCAGAGCGGGCAACCAAATGGCTGGAGCAGCCAGGGAGAGGACAGCAGGAACAGGCAGGTTCTTGCCCTGCGTCATTCCCCAACAAAGCCGCTCTCCTCCAAGGCAGTCCAGGAAGACCAGGAGCCCAGCCCCGGTTCCTTATTTGGGGCTGTGGAAATCCTCTGCCCCTCTGCCATGCCCTCTTCTTAATGGGTGCAAGGTGTTGGCACTGCCCTAGCCCAGGACAAGCGTAGGAGTCATGGGATACATTTGGCCAAGAAGGCCAACAGCACCCTGGCTTGTGTCAGGAATAGTGTGGCCAGCAGGAGCAGGGAGGTGATTGT